CGCTCGCGCCCTCCCCCCGCCGGCCGCGCCCGGGCCCCCCACTCCAGCCGGTTGGGGGGGGGGAGGGCTCCTCCCGGGCGCATGCGCGCTGCGCCCCGTGCCGCCTCGCGCCGCCGCCGCCTCACCCCGCGCAGCCGCTTGACCAGCGCGCTCTTCTGGCCGCTCTTGGCCAGACCGCGCTGCTCCAGAGCCGCCTTGAGGTCTGCGACGCGCAGCATGTGGAGCGGCCTCCCGTCCAGAGTCACCTCCTCCCCGTCCGCCATCTTGTGTGGCGCCGCTGCCTTCCCTCCGCCCGCTCCGGCGGCTTCCGGACCCGCTCGGCACCTTCCGCACTAGCCTCGGCAACTTCCGGACGCGGCTCAGGCCGCGCTCGGCTCACCGCTGCCCGGTCTCGGCCCTTTCCGGCGTTCCTCGGCTGTCTCCGCCCACCCGGAAGTGCCCGCGTCGGATGTTTCCGCCCGCGCCTCGGCTCCTCGGGGGTTTCCGTGCTCTGCTCGGCCCCGCACACCCGGAAGTGAGCTTCGGCAGTTTCCGGGGGCGACTCAGGGAAAAGGGAAAAGGTGGGGGCGGAAGGAGCTCGGGCCAACCCGGAAGTGAGGGCCAAAAGCGCTCGGCTACTTCCGTCAGTGCTCGAGCGGCTTCGGGCCCTGCCGGAACGCGCCCATTGGTTCCCTTGGTGTGATTTCTTCGGGCATTTCCGGACGAGCTCGGGGCTGTCCGAAGTCAAGAGGGAGACCCCCCCCCCTACTTAGTAGAGCGGACCGGAAGTTGGCCGTTTCAACAAGTTGCTGCCTTGTGTATGTAGGGCCTACAGGAAGTTCTCAGTTTATGTAGCGACTACAAGAAGGTGTCCCCTCTTTCCATGGGGCCAGCAGGAAGTTACCCCCTTGTGTATGTAGGGCTTACAGGAAATTCCCCGTTTACATGCAGCCAACAGGAAGCTGGGAGCTTGGGCAGCCAGAAAAGTCCACTCAGTGCCACACACAGACACATCAGCCCCCACATTGCAAGATGGGGCCCGCCGTTTTCATCAAAGCCTCTTCCGTTGAAGTAGGGCCTACAGGAAGTTGGGAGCTTGGGGAACCAATAGACCAGTAACAAACCCCTGCTCTGCCCTTGGGGCCCAGGTGGTGTCCTCGTTCCATCAAAGCCAGTTGTGTTTGCACGGGTGCTCTCTGTTGACATAGGGCCTGCAGGAAGTTGGCCTGTTTGGGACCAAGTGTGGGTTGGCAGCTTAGGGGATCAATAGGAGCCCCCACCCTGGGTCTCAGAGCCTGGGGTTGTCCAAAGCCACTTGCATTTACATAGATCCTACAGGAAGTCACTTTATTGATATGGGACCTGTAGGAACGGGCCTGTTTCTCTAGACCTGACAAGCTGACAATCGGGGCAACCAAGAGCCCAGTAACACCCCTGCTGGATCTTCAGCAGAGTCCTGGCTTCCCCAGAACCACTCCTGTGTACATAGGGCCTGTAGGAAGTTGCCCTTCATTTATGTAGGGCTTACCTTAATTCACCAGCCATGAGGCACCAGTGGGGCCGGGTCCTAAGGGATCTCCACCCTCCTCCTTGGTATCTCCTTGATTCTACCCGAGCCCCCTGTTTACGTAAGACCTACAGGAAGTGACTGAGCACTGAGTGGAGTGCATGGCCTCACCCCCACTTTGGGTATCCCCTGCGAAAGAAGGACCCCATTTAGGGACTCCAGAGTCCAAAGAGAAGAGGGAAAGGGGAGCAGGAATACATTGGCTTGATTAGGAATGACAAAGGGCCATGAATGGGTGCACAGCACCCCCGTGTGGTCTTTTCTCAAGGCTGCAATGGGAGGAGATGCAGGGCACCTGGATTCTCACTTCAGGTAGGGGAGTGGACTGGAATCAGTCTGCGTTTGTGTGCATGGTGGGGGTCGGGGGTGCTGGGACGCCTGGGTTCTTTCCCCCAGGTCTGGGAAAGGAGGGAGGCCTGCTGGCTTGGAGTGGGGAATGGGAGCAGAGCTAGCGCTCCTGGGTTCTCTCCTAGCTCTATCCAAACCCAGGACTCGGAGGGGGGGGACAGGGTAAGACAGAGACACCATGAACCCCAGGGGCTCCCCCTCCCCCAGCAGCTGTCCCCGCACCTCCCCTGCTGTCCCTTCTGGCTGGGGGTGGGTCCCTGTCCCACTAGAGACTGCATAGGGGGAGGGGCAGAGCCAGCCTTCCTCCCCCCTGCATGTGAGGTCTCAGGATGTGGGGGCCCCCACTATTGAGCCCAGCTTGGGGGGCACCAGCCATGGGTGGGGGGCTGGGTGTGGGGCCTATTTAGATATAGGGCC